GAGCAGGATTTTGAATTCTGGATTTAACAGGAAGCCAAAACAGGAGAAATCTGCTCTCTCTTTCTAGTCCCTGTCAGGACTCTTGCTGCAGCATTTTGGATTAACTGAAGGCTTTTCAGGGAGGTTTTTGGACTTCCTGTCGTAGCACCGATGATGATGATGCCACCTGTGAGCTTATCAGATGTTTTCACTGCTGAAACTAAGAACCAGGGATTAAAAATCCAGAGGTGGTGTTTTACGATATTTTATATGATACCTACCAAAAAGTAAGCCTCGCTTTCAGTGACTTATACCGGTTAAAAATGATTGGATGATCCCGTCTTTGCCACAATGTAGCCATTAGAGTAGCAGCTGGAGGCTGAACGTGTGCAACGTCACCAATGAAGCTGTTAGAGTAACGTTCATAAACTGTAGGCGTTTCAATCAGGTAGTGATCTCTTTGCTACTGCAACACTAACTGATCATTTAGCATGGCTGAATCACGGGGCTGTTGCAGGACGAAATGTTGTCTTGGCACATTTTACTTGAACCTTTCTAACACCAGTGTGTGAGGATGTGCTTTAATGGCTTGCCTCTGGACTCCCGCAGTGACTAAACAAAGAGGGTAATGTGATGCTGGCTTGTTTGGAAATACATGTTCACGAGTCTGTATTTGGATGCATATACACGTGTTTGGCGTCACGAGGAGCAAATAAAATCAGCGTTTGAGATTCCTGCCATATACAGGCCTGTTTCCACTGAGGGCTGCCGAGCAGAGGCCCGGCGAATGACATCCAGAGACACAGAGAGAGAACATGAGGCGGTGAAGAGGAGAGTTAGGGTGGAAAGGGACCGGAGAGAGGCAATGCATTATTTATTAATCCACATTTCCCTCTTCTTCTTCATCCATTACTCCTCCTCCTCTTTTTCTGCTCACTCCTCCTCTTGTTCCTCTGTGACATTCATCCTCTCCTCCTCTTTCTCCTGTACCGTCTCCACCTCCCAATCCTCTACTCCCTCTTGTTTAACATCATCAACTCCTTCACTTTTATCTTTCGCTCCCTTGTTCTCCCCCCTCTTCATCCACTGCTCCCTCTCGGTCATCTCCCTCCTCTTCACATCCTTCAGTTTTATCTCAGCTGACCTGTTGTTGCTGCTATCCAGTTATCAACCTGTGGAAGTCTTTTAATGTGATTCGAACTTTAAGAAATGACTCGAATCGAGACCCGTTTCCAAAGGAGCTTTGCGCTTGTGTAGCCAGGTCATTCAGATCACACTTTTCCCTGTGCTGTATAAACGTTTATGAAAAAAACACCTTGAAATCTGACCTCGAGAAGCTTGTTGCTGATCCAGCAGGCTTGTGCGTATAACGTGTGTGGTTTACAAGTCAAAAGCATATGAGATAGAGCCCACTCCTGTTCGACATGACCAGTTTCAAAACACCAACACAGCCACGGCAACACTCAGAGCTTAGGAAACTGTAATAATATTTGGTATGCTAACAACTAGCTACTGAAAAGCATATAAAACACGTGTGATATGGTTACTTTTACATCGTCAGCACTCTGGAGTCCGTTGCTAACAGATGTTGTCGTCTCTGTCTCTTTTCAGGTGGCTGTTGTGGAAAAGAAAAGACGAAGAGAGATGCTGACGTTGAGGATCCAGAGACACGAAAGAGCCCCAGTTCTCTTTATTTATTACCTTCACGATACGTGTGTGTGTGTGTGTGCGCGGGTGTGGCTGTGCATCAGGAAGAGGACGAGCATAGAGCATGTGTGCATTCTGATCGGCACCTAAGATTTAAGGCTATCATTTGCAAATTTTGTTTACTTTTTATAAGGTTCCAATAATTCATATATCATTGTCTAAGTATAAACAAAAGGACTTTACTCTTGGTACATATTGTGTTTTGTGTTTGTAACTAGCCTCCTATTTAAGAATGTATATTTGTATGTATGATATACTCATCTAGAAACTATATAATGGACAGTTTTAATATTGCTTCATCTCGTCACCACTATACTGCTCTTGCCATTAAATCCATGCACACGAGCATCTCTGATACAGTAATGCAGTCACTTCAAAGAAAACAACGAATGCTAAAGTTTTCATTTCTGTTTATCTCTCATTTGTGGAATTATAGGAAAAAACAGTGATAATGACGTCATAATAATGACGTTATAATAATTACTATTAATTATTATATTATTATATTATATTCTTATTATATTATAATAATATATTATAATATAATATATTATTATACGATAATATTATATTATATTATATATTATTATAATATAATAGTATAATAATATAATATTATTGTTATAATAATGACGTCATGATAATGGCGATCTCAGAGGGCTTTCAGGTAGCCTGCTCTGGCAGCCATATTGGAGGTCCTCGGTTCTTTCGTAGCTTAAACTGCGCCTGCTTTAAAGCTTTAATTTATTAGTTAATGGACTCACAACAAAGTAGCTAACAGCTTCAAACCCCATGTAAATACTAACACTCAAATCTGGTAGGTAACAGTAGATAAGACTCTTTGTCAGATGTTTATCATGCTGTGTGGGTTCATGTTACAGGCTTACTTTGGTAGTTCTGACCAGGATTTTCATCACTTGTCTGAATATTCACCTCACAGTACTGTGACAGGGTAAAACTGCATTTACATGAAAGGACAAGGTTGGAAGAAGAAGGAGATTATCATGGACCAGTGCTTAACTGAAGTACGTATGAGTTCTGGGAGCGTTTCAGCTCCAGTCTTCTGTTCCTGTGACCTGGCAAGGCTTTTATCTGCATACTTGACCCCAGGTTGTTCAAATAGACACAAATTTGACATCAGATGCCCTACCTGACACGTTTATTCCTGACTCTAGGGAAACTCCAGCTGTGACTCCTTGAGGCTGAATTTGTGGCTCTTCTGAGTCTCAAACTGCAGCGCTGAGGCGAATGTGTTAACCACTACACAGTGGTGTAAAAACCACTCGGCCAAATGTCACCAACCCAGAATTTGAACCAAAGACCATAAAATAACCTTTAATATTTGATGTGGACCAACATTTGGCTGATGCTCATTCTTTTCCATGGGCTCGTTGCAGTCTCTCCTGCTACACTAATGAAGGAAAACAGCATTAATGAGAATTACCTGGTTTCTCTGATCCAGATTTGTGCACTTTTAAACATAAACCTGCCTATTGCTGAAGCTCTGACAAATCTATTTTTATTTGTATCATATTATCAGAGTTCAAACAAGGACACTAATGAGCATGTGCAGAGGTAGCAGTGAGCAGCTGAGATGAAAAGTATGCGTCAGCTCGTACTGCCGACGTTTGCTTCTCTCTTTTGAATCGAATCCAAGTACGACGTGGATTCTTGTATTTGCAATAAAAAGCTGGTGTTATTATGGGTGACCTGTTGTATGTAATTGCACTTTGAAATGGGTTTGTGAGTAATATTCGCTCAGAATCCATGAGAGTAAAGGCCAAAACTTCCAAAGTAAGGCCCCATTTGTAGGAAAATTCGAGCGGTTTGATATTTCCGTGGACCTCCACGATGGAACCAGATGGAACTAAGGCTGCGTTCACCCTGCAGGCGACATCAAATCCGATTTTTTTGACCCTCTGCGACCCATATCTGATCATGGTGTGACAGTGTGAACGGCACAAATCCGATATTTTCAAATCCGATCTGGGTCACTTTCGTATGT